TCCGACATACAACCTCGGAATGGTCTTACATCCTTGGTGGATTCTCCCGACCTCTTCCACACTGGTTAACGTCGTCGAGCAAAGGCTCCGACATATAACCTCGGAAAGGTCTTACATCCTTGGTGGATTCTCCCGACCTCTTCCATACAGGTTGACGTCGTCGAGCAAAGGCTCTGACATACAACCTCGGAAAGGTCATACATCCTTGATGGATTATCTCGATCTCTTCCATACAGGTCAACGTCATTGGGCAAATGCTCTGACATATAACCTTGGATAGGTCCTACATCATTAGTGGATCCAATATCAGTTAATATCGTCAAACAAAGGCTCTGAAAAACAACCTCGGATAGATTATACATCCTTGGTTAGCGTCACCAGAATGTCATCAATGGATTTTCGACGGACTAATACCCGACGTCGGACTTCTTCCTACCATCGGACTAATACCCGTCATCAGACTTCTGCTCGTCAAAGAACTTTCATCGGTCTTCTACCCGACAATACTTCTACTCAACGTTGGACTTCTCCCCGTCGTCGGACTTCTGCTCGTCAGCAGATTTCTACTCGTCATCGGACATCTGCTCGTTGATGAACTTTCATCGGTCTTCTACCCGACAGTACTTCTACTCGACGTTTGACTTCTCCCCGTTGTCGGACTTCTGCTCGTCAGCAGACTTCTACTCGTCGTCGGACATCTGCTCATTGACGAATTTTCATCGGTCTTCTAACGGACAGTACTTCTATGCGGCGTCGGACTTCTCCCTGTCATTGGACTTCTGATCGTCAGCGGATTTCTACCTGTCGATGGACTACTGCCCGCCGATGGACTTTCATCGGTCTTCTGCCCAAGGCCATACTTCTGCCTGACGTCGGACTTCTGCCCGTCGTCAAACTTTTATCAGACTTTTGCCTGACGCAGATCTTTCTCCCGTATTTGGACTTCTATACGATGCTGAAATTCTCCTTGTCGTTGGACTTTCATTGGGATTCTGCTCTACGCATAGCTTCCTCCCATCATTGGACTTCTACCCCTCAATGGACTTTCGTCGATCTCTACCCGATGTCAAACTTCTCCCTGTCATTGGACTTCTGCTCGTCACCATACTTCTACTCGTCGTCGGACTTCTGCCCGTCCATGGACTTTCATCGGTCTTTTACCCGGCGTCGGACTTCTGTGTGCCGTCAGACTACTAACCGTCATCAGACTTCTACCCGTCGACGGACTTTCGTCGGTCTTCTACCCAACGTTGCACCTCTACCTGACATCAGACTTCTGTCTGCTGTCGTACTACTACATATTGACGGACTACTACCTGTCGAAGGACTTTCATTGGTCTTCTACCCGAATCAGTGCTTCTACCCGACGTCGAACTTCTGTCTGCCATCGGACTACTGCCTGTCGACGGACTACTGCCCGTCGAAGGACTTTCATCAGAATTTTACGCGATTCAGTGCTTCTACCCGACGCCGGACTTATGTCTGCCATCGGACTACTACCTATCGATGGATTACTACCTGTCAAAGGACTTTCATTGGTCTTCTACGCGATTCAGTGCTTCTACCCGACGTCGAACTTCTGTCTGCCGTCGGACTACTGCCCGTCGAAGGACTTTCATCGGTATTTTATGCGATTCAGTGCTTCTACCCGGCGTCGAACTTCTGTCTGCCATCGGACTACTACCTGTCGACAGACTACTGCCTGTCGAAGGACTTTCATCGGTCTTCTACCTGATTCAGTGCTTCTACCCAACATCAGACTTCTGTCTACCATCGGACTACTAGCTGACGACGAACTACTGCCTGTAAGAGAACTTTAGTCGGACATATACCCGACACCAGGCTTACGTCCGTCGTCGGACTTACGCCCGTCATCGGACTTCCAATCTCCTTCGCTCATCAACAACCGTTCTTCCAATCTACGTCGACGACTACGATCCTTACTACCTCCTTCGCCGACAACGGTCCTTGCAACTTCCTCTGCCAAATGCTGTCCTTACGACCTCCTTCTCCAACTATGGTTCTCCCCGACATCCGTTGTGAACCAACTACAAATCTCTCTTGATTGTGGGATATCTCACAAGAAAAAAGAGTCTCTTCAACTTAGTGAGGGGCCCTAGAATTGCACAAGGGATACCACCTGCACAAGACTAGGGGAAGGCCTCAGCTTGAGGAGGAGGAAGAAAAAAGGATCTCTTCAACTCAGTAAGGGGCCTTAGAATTGCACAAGGGATATCGCCTACACAAGACCAGGGGAAGGCCTCACCTTGAGGAGAAGGAGAAAGAAAAAAGGATATCTTCAACTTAGTAAAGGGCCCTAGAATTGCACAAGGGATACCACCTACACAAGACTAGGGGAAGGCCTCAGCTTGAGGAGGAGGAAGAAAAAAGGATCTCTTCAACTCAGTGAGGGGCCCTAGAATTGCACAAGGGATACCGCCTGCACAAGACCAGGGGAAGGCCTCAGCTTGAGGAGGAGGAAGAAAAAAGGGTCTCTTAAAATCAAAAAGGGACCCTGCTATTGGACAATGGAATTGTCCAAGGGGCAGGGGAAAGCCTCTACTGAAAGAAGAGAAGGAGAAGAAAGCTTTTTCTCGCAAAGAGGGACCCTGCTATTGAACAATGGAATTGTCCAAGGGGCAGGGGAATGCCTCTACTGAGAGAAGAGTGGAGAGGGAGAAGGTGCAAGGATTAAGGCCCTATGAGGGGTCTATTTATAGGCTAGAGGGGAGGTTATAGATGAGAAAAAAAAATAATAAAACTCTCCCTCTCTCCCACTCTCCCACTCTCTCAACTCTTTTAAAAAATAAAAAAAAACACTGTAGCGGTACTGTAGAACCGCAGTCGTCACTGTAGCTACCGCAGCGGGGCACAGTAGCAAACGCAGACATACTGTAGCAACCCAGCGGTACTGTAGCAATCGAAACCGGGGTTGTATCAAACGCAACGGATACTGTAGCAACCGCAGCCGTACTGTAGCAACCGCAGCGGGCACTGTAGCGACCGCAGACGTCATTGTAGCAACCGCAGCCGGGGACTGTAGCAACCGCCAGTTATGCTGTAACCGAAGACTCCTGTAGCAATCGCCACTGGTACTGTAGCAACCGCAAACGGGTACTGTAGCAAATTACCACGACTCCTGTAGCAACCGCAACGACTACTGTAGCAACAGGCAATAACCGAAGACTTATGGAGTTTCGACGTCCGAAAATAGGGGGGCAACTGATACATCATCAAAAAATTAGCTTGATCGGGCACGAATCTCGAGGCAAAAGATAGTTGAAAACTTCAAAATTTAATTTTGGGAGCATCCGAATTCTGATTTCAGCGAGCTTATAGTCAAATTGAGCGTCTCGGAAATACGAACCCGACGACACCAAGATCAACCCAATCCGAACCCAAATAAGTCCAAATCAAGGGCTCAAAGTGCTGTCGGAAGGTTCAAACTGCAATTTGAGTTACCAAACGGTCTCCGATTTTGACAAGCTTATACTCGAATCGAACGACTCGACGAGACAAATCCAACGAGTCCAAGATCGCCAAATTCTGACATCATTAAGGCCTCCAAATGTCCAACGAACGATGCACAATCAAATGGTTCACTATCGGCCGTCCATTCAAACCACTCCCTATTCGCCCCTGATCTCACGCCTATTTACGAGCCATGCCACTCCAGAAAATCTATAAATAGAGCCCTCATTCTTCACAAGAGAGGATCGAAGCAAAAAATTAAAGCAAGAAGGGAGGGAAGCCTAAGGAAAAGAGAGAGAGATCGGAGATTGCTCTTGCTTCCTCGACCACCGCCGGACCACCACCTGACGTCGTTGCTCCGCCGGACCACCACTTGAGGCCCTCACCTCCGCCGGACCACTACCTGATGCCGTTGCTCCGCCGGACCACCACTTAAGGCCCTCACCTCCACTGGACAACCACCTGAGGCCCTCACCTCCGCTAGACCACCGCTTGACGTGGTTGCTCCGTCGGACCACCACTTGAGGCCCTCACCTTCGCCGGACCACCACTTAAGGCCCTCACCTCCGCCGAATCACCGCCTAACATCGTTGCTCCATCAGACCACCACCTGAGGCCCTGAGCTCCGCCAGACCACCACTTGAGGCCCTGAGTTCCGCTGGACCACCACCTGAGGCCCAGAGTTCTACCGGACCTCCACTTGAGGCCATGAGTTCCACCGAACCACCACCTGACGCCCAAACTTCTGCCGAACCACCACCTGAGGCCCAGACTTATGCCGAACCACCACCTGAGGCCCCGAGCTCCACCAGACC